CACTGCAAATGCCCTGATGCATCCGTCGCCGTATGGTCTCAGTGGTCCGGGCTTGAACGGCCCTCATCTGGACTATTTAGGATGGTTGCCGATGGATCGTACGGTTTATTTTGGAAGGTATCCTGACCATCCAAAAGCAAAAATTCAACTCCTTGACCTAGTCATCTCAAACTGAATCTATTAATTTATCGTGGATGCTGAAGATGATATTGTTGGTTTTTCAGAGATGGCAGGAACAATTATACACTTCGTTTCTCGTCAATGAGCGTGCCTCATAAACGTACGATGGGTTGGCTACTCGCACTAATCCCGTATGATCGCGATGATCCAGCTAATGTTTATACGGTTGAATTTAGAACACCGACTAATTTCGATTCTGGTTTGAAGCAGGTATGAAGCATTCACATTATGATATGAAGCATTGAATGCGCTCTCAGTACAGAGTGTTGATAATTTCAACATTATTATTGCAGTCATGATAATATTGACCAAAATTATGAGGTTACTGTTGAAAGTAACAAATCTATAAATGTTCCGAAATTGTCAGGTAACATAGGAGAAAAGGATAACATTTCAAATTTTTGATCCCGTTCTATCATCAAAACATAATGAAAACTTTAAAGGCTGCTGTTGTTATCCATCGAATCCAACGAGTTGGCTCCAGTTACTATTCAATGATAGTGACACATTCGCATGAATACTATGAATTGTTGGAAGGCACCGAATGGGTGAATTTCCTGGGTTTCGATAGCGAGAACAAATATCAGTATATTAGAATCCGAGTGGAACGAATCAATCGCAGGGCGCATTATGCGGATGTGCGGATTATCTCTACTTTTAATCCGGTTCGTGATAATTTCACTGTTTTATTTTTCATAGCTATAAGATCAACTGCGTATCTGCGACTAAGTTTCTCAAAATCATTCAATGCAATCAAAAAATTCGAAAAATAGTCACTATCTCTGTCACCAAGAACATGCGTGAACAATTCATTGACGAAATTACTCGGTGCTCAAAATGTTTGACTGATTCATAACGTTTCCGAAAAATCTAGACTTTACCCTCAAAATATTGGAGAAATCTTTTATGAAATAAATATCTGAAAATTTTTCAATCGAAGGTGGCTTGTCGAAGTTTCGAGCAAAAGAAACTGCTTGGCGATCAAGAACAGCGATCGCCAGATCTAGACGTTCAATACATATGTGTACCCCGTTCGCATTCAAACGAAGATGACTTCCTTATGCAAAAGCAACGGAAACGAAACAGGTAACATTCATATTCTTGCTGGTAGCAAGTGAATTCTTTGATTTTCTCGCTATCAAAGAATTCTTCACCAACATTCTGATATTTGCACTTTCGAATTCCGTAATCCATTTCAGGTTTTATGAAGACCTTCAAACGTACGGAATGAACGCTTGTGCGGACAGTAAAGTTTGGAGAGCAATCGATCAGTATGACTATGTTTGTGTGGATCAACAAAGGTTTTTCATCGTCGAAATTTTCTACTCATAGCGAGTAATTCCACTGAAAGTTTCCGCTGAACTGACTTTCAACGATCACATTCGATGTTGATTCAAAAATTCAAATAACTTCATTCTATCGCTTCATGAATTTTGATTTGTGCTCATCAAAAGATGATCGTTTGCTTATTTTTGTACTATTTTATAGAGTGTCAACGATACAAGAGGATAACGAACTCGATGAATTTCGACGAACCACTGACAACGACTGTATGAGTCCATTTGTTAGTCGAGGCGCTTTCATTGGTGACGAAGTTTGTGTATCAGAAGAAGAACGCCAGCAAATAAAGTTAGAAAATGCCATGCAACATTCTGCTATGCGTTATTATGCGTTTTTCAATGGTCAAGATAGTGTGGGCGCTTAACTGATGCATGATTGATGTGCGATACAATGGGACTGTTAAGATTGAATGGATGCCTAATAGATGAAGAATTAGTTGTTGTAATTGTTCGTAAGCAATTTGCACTTTATGAAAAGATCATCATGAATTTTGCACACAAAGTTTCCATAGGAGGAGTCTAACATTTCACTTCATATTGCTACCGTTGAAATTAACATTATACTGTCATACATTCATGTATCAAAGAGACAAAATATCTGTTGTTGTTGTTAAAGAATAAATAATTCTGTTATATTTGAAATGTTACAGTCTGAAATATGAATATCGCATTCAAAAAAATCCCGAAAATAAGCGATGAGCATTGGGATGTTTTTGAGCAATTATGAGATCAAACTTTGATAATCAAAAACAATTTGAGCAAACAACAAACACTTTAACTGTCATGCGATTGAACGGTATCAGATAATGTAAACGGATCAATTTTGGAATTGCGATCATTAAAAATCCGGATTTTCGAATCCAAATCGACTGTTCCTAATCGTTTTGACATCTGATAGAGTTGCAACAGCTGAGATTGATTGAATGATTACTGTTCTGTGAAACACCCTTCCATCATCGAATAATCGAAATAATTGTCCTTTTTTACCATCATCATTATTTGAGTTTTAGATTGGAATGAATGAATTTTTGTTGAATCCAACCGTTATTATTCAACCAATTAAGTGCAATATCTACTCCACTGTTCTTCATGTAACACATCCCAATGGTATTTGCCAATATTGTATTGTTTTTCGCTTGCTCTGCAAGTTGAGCTAAGTATCAGATTATTTCGTCCAATATTGGGTACTTTCGTTTGATTTCTAATAGTTCTGATAAAAAGTCTTGAATTCTTCATTATTAATCGCACAGTCGGACGTTTCGAAAATTGGATTGGAGACACTGGCAGCTCTTTGAACGAGACAAATTTCTGACGTTTCATTTATCATTTCTGCACGTTCTGACAACGGTGTGAAATCGTGTCCATTTTGGTACCTGCTGAGTGGTTCAATCCGTGATCGTGGTTCAATCTCATCTGATGCTTGACCCAAGAAGTATCCAGTTCTAGCTCACAACTAACTGATCAACAAGCTATCGATGATCTGCATTAGCATTGTTCATTCATTCATTTATTCACCATGTGATTTATGAGCACTATCAATACCTCCCCATCAATAACCTGGTATCTGGTGTTTCACATGCATATTGTTCAGTTGCCGAATACTCGATGTGACTCACCGAAATCACACAATTCAATTCGATTCCATAAGAAGTTGCTTTAAAAAACTTCATTCTCGTTTCGTGAATGATTGTAGACCTGATAAAACCTTTTCGATATCGTCATTTGTTTTTTCTTTGATCGATTGTGACGATTGACAGCGCAATCCGGGAAGACAAAATAAGATTCTAAGTGGAATCGTTGATTAGAAAAACCGATCGAATTGTGAGTGGAACAAAAGATTTTATGATGTTTTCCGTTCAGAGCGATACAATAAAGTGAACGTGTAATTGACTGGATTACACTTGCAATTCAATATATTTTAGTTGAATGAAGTGGATTTTTACGATGTTCTATCAGAAAAACGCTTCTTGCACCAAATTCATATGAAATTACTTTGACTGGGTTGGTTACCTTTGAAGAACTAATACCACAGAATAATTCAAGTAGTATTCAGATGATTGTCTGCAGTTTAAGATCAAGTGTGCTAAGATTTCTGCGACTGTTTTATTGTTTACGTAAAAGATTTCCAAGTAAATTAAACAATTTCGAAGAATTGTTTACTCGTCAGATATCAAAAATTTTCAAGTAAACTAGACAATCTCATTGATACGATCCAGATTTTGTGCTTCTATTACGAGACAAATCTTGATAAGTGAAGATCGACTGATACCTAGTGAACACTCTCGAGCATTCGTCAGTCTCGATGGGTGATTGAAAAAGGAATTCTAAGAAATCGATTCGAGTGACGAATTTTGAATGGTGGTGGTGATGTTATAGGAACGTTTATGTGTTTGATCGACATGAATTCATTAGTTGAATCGAATGGCAACGTATTGATGAGCACCACAGAGAGCAACATCAAACTGGTTAACGACCTTTTTGATGTTGTTGTAATGAATCGAATTTTTTTCGTGGCGATTCATTATTCCATTGACATAATCTTCACCATAATCGTCTTATTGCTACTTTCCGTCTCGTTAGTATTATCGCTACTGTTCCATCGTTATCACTTTTCTTCATCTATCATTAACCATCCTCGAAGACCATTCTTGTCATCGCCCAAATGTCACAACTGATTCTCCCAGCATTTATAATCATCATCGAATGATTTCATTCAGTTTCGTTGATTTGAATTGATATTTTGACAGCATCAATTCATTTAAGTTTCAGTCAACACATTTTAAATGCGACTGTGAACTTAAAGGAGCCTTTTAATGCGTTTAGTTGCGTTGTTGGTTTTGCAATTATAATTGCTACTATTTCATTCGGAACGATTTTGAAGACTGTGAAATGTTTATGTCTATGATGCAATTAATAATGGAAACGATAATCATAACGATAGCGATAATAAAGATAGTGATACTTTAAGAAGATTAAGGAGGAAAAACCTTGACGATTTAAACTGGATGCTACAGTACCGTTTCGATTCAGAATTGATCATCGTAGCAATAAGTTTGAAAAAGTGGAAATTTAGATCGTTTACGCTAGATTAATCAATTGATCCCCTAAAAGATTTTTGCATGAGGCCACGTGCCACTCTTGATAGCAGCGAAAAGTTTATGTTCAAATAACCGATGGAGATGAATCATTTCACAGTTGATGCTGTTAATTCAGCTGACTGTTGCGAGTAAAAAAGTTTTAAAATGTTTGAATCGTGATGAGAGGAGTGTAATGCGCAAAACAATTTTTTAATTACTTGCAGTGATCTCACAAACTCACACCACACCACAATTATTACGTTTCATAGCACTAATAACTGAATTTTTGAATGTGTTCCGCTAAACAATTATTCTTATAAATATTCCTCTTGATTTTGTGATCAATTATAACTTATTAAATAATGGAAGACCTGAAACTTGGGCATCATCAGCTGCAAAAACAGCTTGATAACTTCAGAGATATTGCCGTTCAGCGACAAGCGTCCAAGGTAAGTGCAATTACCTATTCAATGAATTTGTTCAGTTGAAAAATTCTTTGGAACCGTACAAACCAACTATAACTTAACTTCATTTTTGGGAATTACTTCAACTCACCTTCAGCTTACAAGTTACCTTTAGTTACCTCAACTTACCTTAATTGTTCATGGCAAGTAAGATGTGGAGGATTTGTACGAAATCTTTATGAAAGTTGTCGTGAATAAGCGAATCAGTCGAATAAATCGTACCTAAATGATAGAATTTTGAGTTATGTATAATGAAGTATATATAATGCTCCACTGAAATCAGCGTTGTACTTCAGGTGATTCGATGGATGTATCATTTTCCGTTGATAATCAGCATAGCAATATTTATTTCTCAACTCTTCAATGTGGGCATTCTTTTCTCGTATTCGTGTGATTTCACAAGACTCTACGATCTCCTAGTTGATTATATGAATAGCACCGAAATTGTCAGTGAACAAAACGGTGACCACGAGGTGTACGTTATTGCCGGTATTAATTCTGAACGACTGGAAGTGGTTGATCGAGTATGTTACTATTCACTTTTCAATTGATTTACCAATGAATTGCAAGCAATTCCAAATGCTTTCTCATTCGATATAGTACTTTGATTGAGATATTGCAATAGTGACATTGTGAATATTCATTGCTGTACAGTCTATTGGTATTGTGTTTTTAAAAGCTATTTAGTGTTTTTAAAATATTGCTCATCGATTCTATTTTTCATGTTTAGTCGTTTATTCATGTGCAAACGAGATGCATAATGAGTATTTTTTGAAAGACTCCTTTCTAAACGACTATTAATCTTATAGTTTCGATCCTTCTTACCTAAATATAACTAATTGATATCTATACAACATCAAATGTGTTTCGCACATATAATGTGATATTTCAGTATCATGAACAACTGTGGTCACTGTTCGTTTCGGAAGTTATTGAATTGATGATTCCATTGTTTAATATGTTAGTTTTTGGATGGGTATTCTTCACGAAAGGTCGCCTTCATTCCCGTATCAAAATCATCTATATTGTAAGTGTAGTTGTCGAAGTTTATGAGTTCAAGGATTTTCCTTTATTTACCTGAACTTACCTTCACCTTACAGCTTACCTTCAATCGCTTCAACTTACCCTAATTTTTCGTGGCAAGTAAGATACGGAGAATCTGTATGAAAGCGCTATGAAAGATTGTCGTGAATAAGCAATATGGCCGCCTGTAAAATTCCGAATTTATTTGCAAGCAACGTTCTCAATGGGAGAGTTACTTTGAAACAGATCTGAGTTGGACGAGGATCGTGAATAGTTAAATGACTGAAAACGATGATTTTTAGGTGGCTCCTGCGTTAGCGTTAATGCTGAGTGTTAGCCAGGCTTGTATGATACAAATCTCACTTGCTGATCGTATTCATCATGTTCGATTCATTCTAAGTAAAATCATTTCACCTCTACTCGAACATCATCCGAATGGAAGTCAACCCATCGAACGAGCGTTCGGATGTCAATTCTGGGACGGTGACGAGTTGAGTGGAAAAAATTCGGTAAGATTTTGATGTGTCGATGTGTCGAATTTGGTGTGGATTGATTTTATGCCCTCGTTTGAGCAGTTGATTTAATCCACTATCGGATTGATCAGATCCAATCATAAGTTAATGAGAATATCCACTTCATAACATTATATAGTATCATCGACTGAAGTTTTTAGCTTAACTCGTTGGCAAACTTAATGAAACTTAATTGATTATTATTGGATCTGTAGAAAAAGTTCACCGGACAGCAATAAAATACACGTGATACATCGCAATACTTTCTTCAAAAAATCATTTTTGATGTTAAAAAAACGCGAAACAATGATTAGTTTGCAGACTCCATCATGTTCGAGTGTCCTTCACGATGAAGTGGTCTCATTGACGACGTTACACGTGATCATTTTCTTGCATATTGTGCCAATAATTGTATTTTTGTACATTTTGCTAAGGAACTTGGTGGAGAGTGATGCTGAACATCTGTTCTTGTATGTCGAGAATGTTGAGCAACGTACCGATGAGGAGTGCACCCCAAGTGTCTCATCGATTACCACAACAACCAATAATAGCACATCTCAATTGGACAGGTACTTTCAATTTATTGACCAATTCATTCGTTCACCTAATTTCATTGTTTATTTGTTGACTGGTCTGTCGCATTCAGTGGCTAGTTTTAGGATTTGTTGAATCAGTCATTTGAAAACTAGTTGATGTCTGTCAACATTATCTACAGTTTTTCTTCATCACCAACAAAATCGCATGCGCAAATATGAACCTGTTGAAAGGAGAATCAGTGCAAACAACACTAATGAGATCAACTAGAGCAATTTCGTTGAGTTGTATATCCCATATGGCTTGGAAAGCAATTAATTTTATGTCACATGTGGATTTAGAGGGGACAATTAGTATCATCACCAGTTGACAAATTTGAATCAACATTAACATTTCAAAAAATGGCAGAACGCAAATTAATGATAGTTAAGATTATTCCAGTTCCAATTCATGTGTCATGTGAGTCTTTAATAATTTCATTACGGATTGGTTACCAGTCACGGTCAGTTGGGATCAGTTAATGAGCTGCTGAATGACTAAATAAACAATGAATAGTGATGAATATTCATGTCGGTTCACGGCGACGCAGAAATTCCATTTGCTTCTCGTACTTCTCATCTTCAAAACAGAGTTTATTGTTACAGGAGTAATTTTAGAGCACCGACATTCACAACTTCAACAGTAACAACTGAAGATGAGCAAAAAAGTACTGCGGCAAATTCCACTGAAAAACGCAACGATTCTTCATCAAATCACATCAACTAGTTAGTTATTTTCGTGGCGTTCATCCGGCGATTCTCCCATAGGATTGCGAAAATAATGTGAAAACTTATTCAAGTTTGGATCAGACGAGTAACTTGTCACAACTATGAAATAACGACGTAAGCGCATATTGTCAAGAGGAAATTCAATCAAATTTTTTTGATGAGCATTTTTGGAGTCTGAAAATTGCTTGAGTTCTGATATTACGAAGATCACTAATCTCTTATTGATGTTTCATTTCAGTGCACCCAATAAAACACCACAAAAAATTCACACATTGACTTGTACCAAAGAATTGTCGGATCTTCAAACGTCAGAAACGAATTAATATTGTGGATTGGATTGCTTGTAGTCAAACGACGAAGTTTTCAAAGCAAAATGATATTCATTTGTGCTGCTGTGAATACGATTGAAGCTGAATAAAGATATCAATTGATAGGGAACCGTTCGATTGAAGTAGATAGTGAATATTTTGGGGCATTGTTCACGATAATTTCTGCACAATGTGAATACTATTATTGATTGCGGTTATGAACTGATGAGGATTGTTAACTTTGATCATTGCGTCTGTATTTTTACGATAATTTGATGTCGGCAAACAGTTGATTCCACAGTATCTTATAATTCGATACGAAATGCTTGTGCATTCCCCAGAACGATCTTCATGACCTCTAAAGACTTCAAAATGCATTCTGCGCGAATGACAGCAAACAGTTGATTTGTATGGATCGGCGGATTTCAGTTATTGATTTCAGTTATTGATCAATTAAAAATTAACACATTAGTAAAGTGAACGAAATGGACTTTAATTTTCGAACTGCTTACCGGTTATCGGTCGAATTCAA